ATATAACCGCGGTTGTCTGGGGGACGGTAATGGGCTCTATGCACAGCTCCACTACTTCCTGAATTTAAGGCAGCTCCTTTGTTTCCTGTCTTTCATTACTGGACGAACTGATTAATCCAGGTGTGTCTGGCCTGTTTCTTTGGTCATACACACCTGGATTAATCAGTGCATCCAATCATGAAAGACAGGAAACAAAGGAGCTGCCTTAAATTCAGGAAGTAGTGGAGCTGTGCATAGAGCCTATTCGCCTGCATTTTATGAATGCTGGCGTACCATAAAGCATACATTATGAACAGTTTAGTTTGTGCCTTTAACTCGTTGCCCACAGGAAGGTGTTACTTTGATATAACAAAGCCAAATATCTTCGGAACAGCTCAAAATGCCTGAAAACTAATATGGGTGAGTAGAACATGATGTAATAGTGTAAAATCAAGGGGCCAATGTAAAAAAAACCGGAGGGAAAACACCTAATGTTTCAGCATTAAAGTAAATAATGCTGTGAAAACTGTCTGGTTTTCCTTTTGGTTTTTAAATCAGGACTTGTTTTGGCATACATCATTTTTAGGTGTTTGGCCTATATACAGTTTCAGTGTGGATTCTACAGTGCCTCGCGAAGGTTTTAAGCCCCCTTGAACTTTTTTTTTTCAACCTTTTCTTCATTTTAGGCTTCAAACGTAAAAATATAAGATAAAAATAAAATATTTTTTGTGAAGAATAAACATCAGGTAGACCTCAATCATGAAATGGAAAACAGGCATTGAATATTTTATAACTCTTTCAAGAAATAAAATACTGAAGAGCAAGATTAATTAGGCCTTGTACTTTTAATGCAGCAAACTCTCATCAGAAGTTCAGTGAGGATGTCTTAATGATTCAATGTTGACCCAATTGACTGATGATGATATATGGAATCCACCTGTGTGTAATCAAGTCTCTGTATAAATGCACCTGCGTCTGCTCAGAGGTCTGTTTAAAGGAAAAGTCCAGTCAGCAAGGAATGATCAATGGATCATTATCTATACTTAAAATTAATAAGTTTGCTGTGATTTAACGAATTTAGCGTTAATCAGTAAAAACATAAAAACAATCATTTTTGTTGCAATAACAAAATCCAAGAGTCCAAGACTGGCCATTTTTGGCCAAATATAGTAACACCTTACTCCTGATATCCTCCGGTAGTGACGTCATGGTGGGGTAAGCCTAGCGCCATTCTCCCCACTTTACAAGCAAAACCAGTGTGAACTACTGCACACATTTGCAATCAACAATTATTTAAGATTTCGAGAGGACTTTAACATTGACATTTGTGAGACCTATAGTTAAAGTGACCATGCACACATGCATGACAGTTGAAATTTGCAATACATCGGGTAAAACTGAAAAAAACCATCCCCCACGGAGGGGTTACTGCGGTCCTGGTCGTTGGAATGCCAACTTGAAGAGGGAGGATTTGTCATGGCACTTCTGGCCGGAGGGAAAACACCTAATGTGTAGCCAACATGTTTGAAGAAGAATGTTTTCAAGAATGTTATGACAAAAATAATCACAATCACTCTCCTTACTGAGCTTGGGCTGTATTAGAAGGAAAAATGGGCAAAAATGTCATTCTTATGGTGTGCAAAACTGATGACCCCAAGCGACTTGCAACTGTAATCACAGCATAAGGTGGTGCTACAATCCATTTACTCAAAGGGACTGGCTAATTTTAAAAACACAGTTTGGTTATTTGTTAAAGTTTGAAATATTCAATACATTTTGTTCATGATTGTCCAACTTCTTCACAAAAAAATTACAATTTTATATCTCTTATTTTTGTAATATGAAATGTGGGAAAAGGTCAAAAAGTTAAAGGGGGCTGAATACTTTCGCAAGGCAATGTATATAATGTTTTACAAATGAGACCATAGATTTTGAATATGTTGAGAGGCTGTGTGACCTACTGTAGCTAAGAAGGGAGAGGATTTCCTAACTTTTTGCTCTGCTAAAAACAAGTGACAATCGTAGGGCTTACCTTTAATTACATCTATTTATTTTCCAGAGATAAAAAATAGGAGACTTTGACAGGAAAGCATTTACATTTTAAGTACTGGTTGTTTAAATGGATGTTCTACCTAGTTTCACATGTACTTGTCCAATAAACCCTGCAGTTTTGCTAAACTGTCACTAACAGCTTTCTGAAATATGTGTACAATACCAGGCAACTGTTCCTTATTAGTTGAAGAACAAATGCAATATAAATTATTAGTTTTCCGCTACATATTTCAGTCGTTTTATGAAAGAATATGTGTTCAGAGCAGCTTTGGAGCATGTAAACTAGGGCCAAAAAAGGTTTAAGAACTTCCAAAAAAACTAAAGTGAAATCAACAAAGGCAATCGTTATCTGTCATACTAGAGTTTTTCTTTTGTTTTGTTGCTTTTTTTCTGTTAAAAAGACATTCATTTATGAGAGTGTGTCGGATCAGATTGATGCCTTTGGTATCTCTGACAGTTTTTTCCCTTAGAATCTAACATATTGATTGTTCAGGCTGGTGGAGTATTAAATATTTCGTAGACATGGACCTTGTCTTTTCCGTATAGCTTTCCATTATTAAAACTTTGACATATTTAATGGTATAGATATGCTGCATTACAGGCGATTCTGAATTTTACAGTTTAGACTTCCAGAGCAATCTTGGCTTGAACATTTATTGTTATAATTACTAATCAATCTGACATTATTTTTGGAAACCATGATATGTAAAAGATGAATTAAGGAACATGTGGGGTAAGGCAATGCACAAGGTAGTAAACAGACCTCAGGACAGCTGGCTACAAAAAAAAAACCTTTTTGCCAGGGGATGTTTGCACAGAGCAGTGCAATTATTTCTGCCGAACAGCCTGAACCACACACAGCCCAGTTATTCACCCAGGATTTCACAGCAAAGCACCGACTGAACTTTGATCTTTATTGTGCTTACTTCTTCCACAGCATACTTCTAAAGAGATTCAGTGCTGACAAGAGGCCAAAGTGAGGCACATAAAGGTAGAAATGGTATTCTCTGTATCTCAGAGACTGCTTGACCAAATGTAACATTTAAATAAAGCCGGTTAAACAACGTGTGATGAAGTGGTTTCATTTTTCTTCACATTCACCTTTTTGTACTGCTGGTAGTTTATACCCAGAGGTTTCGGTGCACTGTTGCCATTAATAATGTTATATTACTTTTTAGCTTTATTGGAGTAGTTTGGTTTTTTTTACAGGGTGAAATGACATTAGAAGTTACAAAATAAAAACAGGAAGATGTACAAATTTTGGAGTTAGAAATAACTTATATGGAGCCAAATATACACAAACAACCAGAAATATGTCTCAGCAAAATGCAGAGATAAAGCCTGGGGTTTTCTACTGCCCAATGAGGAGGAGGAAAATGAGAAAAGCAGCAGTGTAAAAAAGGGGTATGGGTTTATAATATCCTTAAAGTTAGAGAAAGTTTAGGCCCACTCAGGAATTGCAGCTTCTTGACAACAGCTTCCAGGTTTCCTTCACAGTTAGTCGGAAGAAATTTCACAGTGTTTTGAGGAGAGTTCCTGTGAGACTCATGAAAAAATTAAAACTAACTCCAGGCTGCAGAAGCTCATTGCGCTGGGATCAGAATAGTTATATATGCACATACTTACTTCAACTCAGAATACTTAGATGATTCCCTATGTTTAGATGCAACTGGATCTCATCCAGGAATGCCTCAAATCCCCACCTCAATGTAATTTAAGAGCATCAACTGTGTCTTGCTAAAAGTGTTCACAACTCTTGACATTTCAGAGAAATAAGGTAACTCTCAACTGTGCAGGACAAAAAGTTGTTCTCTGATGTATCCTAATATCTTAAGTATGCTAAGTGAAAAAGTAAAATTGTGTAAATAAATCTTAGTATAAATATTGCTGTACTATAAAGACCTAAATTGCCAGGCTGGCTAAGGAGAGCATCTGAGAAGAAATCTGGATGAGGGGGTGGGGGGGTGTTGAGAGAATAGCTATCACTCACCCCACAAAATCGAGATCTAAATATAACTGAGAATTTACAGCAAGACTCTGAGATTGTTATTCACTCTGTTACTCTGATACTCATTTTTTTTTCAGTCAGAACCTGAGCTCTTCTCCAAAAAAGAAAAAGCTAAACTTTCAGTCTTTCAGTGTATTTAATCATATATAGTCATAGATCTGAATCTGTGGTTGTATTAGACCCATTAGCTTTTAAGGGTTTGGTTATTTGTCAAACACAGAAAAAGGAGGGTCTGTTTTTGAGAATCTATAACATCTAATCAAGATCCAGTCCATTAAACAGGTTTGTGCAATTAAAGCAGTTTAAATGTTCTAATTATAATAATCAGACGATTAAAACTCTGAAATTATGATTGGAGCATTCATGTTTCTCTTCTGACAGGTATTGTTAATAAAGTTTGTTGGAAAGTGCTCTTTTTAAAATGAGATCAACAATTAACTTTCAATTTTCTTGTTTCTGATAGCTGTAAAGTGGTTTCCCTAATGTGAGTGACCTCTCTGCCTTCTTTTAGGATGTTATTACAAGTCTCTGTGAAAATCAGGAGGCAGCTCATTCCCTGGGGTACAAAAAAAATTTAGATTTGATACCAGAACATAGAAGATTACTGTTAACAGAATAACAAAGCAACTGGGAAGGTGATAATGAGAAATGGAAGAAAAAAGGGGACAGACAGGGGAAAGGTTCATGCATTTCTATCCTATTTAAAAGATTTTTTTTTCCTATGTCCTGCCAATATTAAGCTCCATACAAAATAAAATGAGCCTATAGGACAAAATAGAAAAGTGCTGATGAATTCAAAGAGTATTTTGTATACTGTATAATAATGTAGATGACTAAGAGGTTGTTTTGCAGTTGAGGATGCTTCTTATCCAGTGGAATCAATACAAACAGATAGAGACAAACACAAACCTCTTATTATTAATCTTATTTATATTTTTATTAAAACATTATTAGCCTCCAACAAGTAAAGAATGTACATATGATAATAATGATAATAATAATAAACTGAAAAAACATCTTCAGTTTTTTAATTTATATTGTTTAAATTAATTTTTTCTCTTCTTTCTCTGAGTACGACTTACTCAGCCTTCAGGACTGGAAATACATTTTTGGAGGAATGTACAGTACAGAATAAAACAACAAAACAAACAAAAACAATCTTAAACTCTCTCAGTTTGTTCTTGTTTTAAAATCAACATATCTCATTTGTTTTGCAGAAGATAACGCCCATCAACCACCTTCTGCTTAGCTCCCTAACAACTTACACTTCCAGTGCATTTCAAATAGACTTGCATAACTGCATGGACTCCAACACAACCCAAAACTCCTGCTCTGTTAAATGGATTTGGTGCTATGTTGTTGTATGCAGCTGCTTTTATCAGACCTGTGACTAAAGCACCACAATGGTAGCCTTTACAAAGCTCAGGTTTGTTTTCTGCAGAATAAAATGCAGAAAGCCACCGACCTTGCTCCGGCAGGCTGCAGAGAGAGCATCACAGCTCATTTTTTTTGTCACTCTGCTCCTTTTCTCCATCTCTGCTTCGTACTCAGTGCTTTGTCATTTCCTGCTAGAATCTAAAGGAAATGCCACTGATGCACCATCAAAAAAGTGACATAAAAAGAAAAAAAAAATTACAACCTACTCACTGAAAGGAAACCAACTGTTCATTTCACAGAACACAATGCCATGGGGCTGCACAGTCTGCAGATATCATCTTAGTAAAGTTTATACTTTTAAAATATGTTAGACAATTAAAAACACGACAGCACAATTAAAAACAAAAAGATTTTTGATTTAGTCTGCACACTGCACTTAGAGTCAAGTGAAGGTTTACAGAATCTTCTGACAGGCAGGTGATGCTAAAAATCTCCATTGTTGATTCACTGCAGTTGATCTGCAGAGGACCAGCATTTTATCCTTCTCTCTCTTTCTTCTGAAGCATTCAGTCTGTATCTATTGGGGCAAAATCCGGTGCTGGCGGTCATGTGTCTATAACGTCCTGTGCCGGTGAAGGTTCGTGTGGCAGACTTGTTGCATTAGGCAGCGTCTGCGTGTGGCTGACGGAGTTCTGCTGTAGCTCCAACGCCATGGCGTTTTGTGGGTGGGGAAACTCCTTTACCTGTTTGCGGTACTCCAAGAAAGTGGAAGCCTTGGTGGCGATTGCCACCACATTCTTGCCGACGAAGATAGTAGAGACGCGGCTGTCTTGGAACAGCACCATGTTGACTCCACGTATGAGGATGGTGACCACATTTATTGTGACTAGGCTGAGGACCGGGTACAGCATCATCTTCTGGGGCGACATGTGCTCACCCTGCATGCTGATCTCGCTGAGGGACACGCAGGGCAGGATGAGCAGCAGAATGTAGCAGTAGAAGAACATCAGGCCTTCAGCCCATATGGGCAGACCTGTCCGCTGGGGCTCCCACAGATTGGCTTGGATGTCGAGCAGATCTAGCAGGTCCAGAGCAACCCAGAATAGTCGACTTCTCATGTCCTCCTTTTTCCGGAAAGTTCTCACATATTCCATGCTATCCAAAGCCACAAGAACCAAATACAAACCTGGCACACACACGGATAACAGCAAAGTCAAAGCTTTTCGTGCCACTGTTTCAAGACTCTTCCTGTCAGCCTTGCAATTCTGGAAGACAAAGTAGAGTTTTATCTCAAGGACAAAGATGTAGAGAAACCACAAGATCATGGCATATCCACGTCGGGCCGTGCGCACCTCGGCCCCAACCCACACCGCTACATAACGTAGCACAATGAGGAAGCAAACGTCCCCTACCAACACTATAATGCACACACCAATCTTCCTGGGACCCTGGTTTTGTTCAACCAGGTAGGCATCCATGAAGGCCATGCTCGTCATGATGACAATGGTTGTCAGGCACACGTGGCGTTTATCTGGGGGTGGCAAAACCATGATGAGGGCACTAATTGGCACTCCCTTTAAATCTGCAATATTCAAAAGTAAAAAATTAAAGTAGAAGTTGAGGCGCACTGTGGGCCTCCAAGCCTAAAAGGCTGGAAAATAGAGGGATTTAAGGTGCTCTGACTAAAGCAAATGTCCTAAAAGCAGGGGTAAAGATAAAACACCACTTTTAATGAGTGGCAAAGTTTTCCATAGAGAATGGTTTCCTTTTGAAGGGAGAGTTTTGTGTGAAGAGATGCTGGCTGTTGAATCCTCTCAGGCCAATTGAAAACAGGAGCCTACTCTTGTCAGTCAGCGCACTTCCATTGATCCAGCCCAGCCTCCCAGCAGCAGTTACAGCAAAGGGCTCTACACCCAACTCACCATGACTGATTGTAATCCGCACACAGTCAAATGAGGGATGCTCCTACAGCTGGCTTGCCTTCATTGACCTGTGATGGTATCATGGGACAAGGTGCTGCAGTGTTGTAATGTTTATGGAGGTGTTTATTTTTCGACGAGACGGTATCAGAAAATGTAGATAGGTGTGTTTGGCAGTTTTGCATGGATAAGAAATCCCTCTTCCGATACTCATAGAGCCGATTGCGCAGTGTGTGTGGCGTCTTGTGGTCCTGCAGTGTGTGAGGAAGGAAATGGAGGAGAGAAGGGAGAGGAGTAGGCAGTGGCCAGAAGCCCCCAGTCGCCATAAATCAAGGAGACAGCAGGTCAACGGCCCATGAGGCCTTGCGTCTGATGCTGGCTTCCCTGTAGGGAAGCTCTTCCTCTGGGCTGAAGATCCATCCTTCCTTGTGCCACGTGCCTGCTTCTCCAAAGCCTACAAGAGGGAGAAATAAAGAAGGGGGGAGGGAGAAAGAAACCTGTCAGCACTACTGGACCATATAACACAGTTTCATTGCCAACGGCCCATATATGAGAAGCAAAGTAATGTGTCAGCTCGGCTCAAACGTGCCCTGTTTCACTATTGATGGGACAGAACATATTGCTCCCGTAACACTGCTCCAGGATGTCATTACCACTCTATTGTCTGTGATGTGTCATGTGACATCTGGATGCATGGCTTAATAGGCTCCCATGGCAATGGCAATATATTCACCGTACTGTGCTGCCGTTTAATTCCGGCTCTTAAATTAATAGAGGACTTATTACAAGAACTTGTAGGAACCTAATTTTCAAGTCTCATACAGCAGCTAACTACTCAGAACTTGTATTTCCCTTTTTCATTATTACTTGGCAGGGAAATGAGATGAATGCTGGCCATGTGTTCATTTCCTGATAATATTTTTAGTTATCTTTGGGCTGTTTCCAATCTGCACATAGGAAACCACAATTACACTATCTACTCTGGAGGCTGCATGTCTACATTCTCATGGTAACATAAATGATTTTTTTTATTGCAGAAACATATTGCCACATTTTGAAAGGTTTAGAAAATAACTATTTTTATTTTTAGCACATTTTTATAGTAAAGAAAAAAACTAATAATAAGAATTGCATTCTTATTGTTTCTTAGCAGGTGCAGGGTTTGTGAAAGGCCATGCCTTTTTCCTCAATAAGACCTGTTATGAGCTGTTCAGAATAAGTTGAGATTGTCAGTCCAAAATCAATCTAATGATCCGATTTAATTAAAAAATAGCTCACCAGACTCAAATCAACCTTATTTTATGACAGTCTTTAAACTAAAATTTACAAAAGGGTTTCCTACAGATTTTTTATTAAAAAAATATCATTTTTAAAGTTCTCTTTCAACAAACAAAACCTCTGATACATACATAGTACAGTATCTTTGTACGGTCTGTCTATTTGTGTTTTGTATTCTGTATGTTACATCAATCATAAAACAAGAAATTGTTTGATTTAGCTTCATCCTACCGATCGGTAAAGGCTTATTTCAGAGTGTTCTTAGTAAATGGCTTTTCAAACAACTGCAATTAGTTCTATTTCAAAGTCTGATTCTTCCGGTGCAACTTGTAACCTTTCATGTTTCTATGCTCCTGCTAAAACAACAAAAATTTTATTTCACAGTTAATACCAACAGTTTTGATGTGTTAAATAAAAAAAAATGGAATGAAGATACACCACCATGTAGAAAGCATATTACTTATTTTATGTATATATTATATTTATATATTATTAAAATCTTCTAAACAATAATAAGGAAACCTTAATATGTTTAAGCTTCATTTTCTGTAAATCTTCTTAATTACTGATAGAAAAAGTAGCATGGGAAGGTTTTCCAATGTCAATAAATATATTTTAATTACATTTTTCATTACATTTTTTCAGTGAGATGGTGATGGTGATGGTGCGATGAACAATTTGTTTTTTAAACATCTTTACCAAATGCTTCAGTAAATAATAATAACAATGATAATAATTGAAGTTCATTGATCTCACATTGGAGAAATTCACTCTGTATTTAACCCATCCCCTTGAGAAGCAGCGGTCTGCCATTGTGGGGCGCCCGGGGAGCAGTGTGGGGTTAGGGGTCTTGCTCAGAGACCCAGAGTAGCAGCCTGTGGGAGTGGGGCTCGAACTTAGAACCTCAGGATTCCAAGCCCTAACCACTAGGCTGCCCCTCCCCTAAATAGACCTAGAATTGTGTGAAGGTTTTATTGAGGAATAACAAGTGATTTGTGATTGGTACAGAAAACGTGTCCTGCAACTCAAAGTTTAAACTTACCAGGTGGATATAGATGAGAATAAACTTTGTTTTTATTCCAGTTAGATGAATATTTACTCCCCGATGTTCTATCTGTATTCAGTGACCTGCTAAATATTTAACTACCATGCTTGTTAGAGCATGCGACAGGATGGATTTGAGAAGGCTCAAAGGGAATCTTTGAAAATATATAAAAGCCAACCTCTGCCAGGTGCCGAATGCCCAGCAGGAATCTACCTTGGGGATTGGTCTCATCCATAAATAAAGCAGCATGTGTAAACATTAGCATGAACACAGAATGGGGCCAGGTAACAGTAATGTTAACTGTGTTAACTGAGCAGAAACATCTCCCTCTGTTCAAATTTGCTTAATTTTAGCAGAAGCCTGAATTTGTCGTTCTGCTTTGTTCTATCGACTCCTGCTGTCACTTGATCCTTCAGGCAAAACACTTCTGAATAACATTAGTGTTTAATTCTGCCTAGATAGAATTTAAATCAGAGAAGTGATTTTTCTCATTTTTAAAAGCTCTGACAGTTATAGTTATGGCTTAATAAAGTTACTTTGAAAACTTCTGTAATGCAGATACCCCAAAATACTCTCTCAATCTGGAAAAGGAGCAATTAGGATCATTAAGTTAATGTACTGACCCAGAAAGAAACTGAATTTAATATGTAATATTCTCTTTAACTTAACATGCCTGGCAAACTAATTGCTTTCCTTCAGCCTGTTCTAGTTTTTCTCATTGCATTGAAAGAATAATGAAATTCTAAAAAGTTAATCAGCCTGCACCAGTGCTGAGAACTTTATAAAGCTGTACTCTGACATATTGAGTTCCTGCAACTAATAGCTACACTAAAAATGACAGTAACAGTCATTAGTCATTTTGATCAAACAAACACAACAGCATGTTTACTTTAGTGCATCTGTTTTCAAAGGAGGCTGTAGGGATGCAAATATGGTCAAAACTGGGGATACCTTTAGAGATTTGTTATAATCATCTCACAATGAGGCAATGCATCCATCTGAGCAGTCATAATCTACAAAGCATTAGCCCCTGTATGAGATGTGCCATGAGCACCTGGAAAAAACAAGACATATATCAGTTGTTCTAAAGACAATTTTCTATGGCTTTTGTGTGTCCTGTCCGGGGATTGAAGCCAAAAATGGGGAAACCCACTCCGTCCCTCCTTACTCCATGGCTGCCTTGTGATACTAATGTTAATTTTTTTTAATCAAATTTTTCTAGTAGGAGCATAAATAAACAACTGCTTTGCCATTTTCTAAACATTCTGCACTACATCCATCATTTTATTGGCAATGTATTATCTTGGGCTTGAAAATTAACATGAAACATATCTTTATAGATAGAAAGATCAAATTTTGCTGAGCGATAAATTGTCCCAGAAATGATTGCAATAAACAATAATGTTGTCATTCAGTTTAATTTCAGAGTGCTCCCACAATGTAGCTGTGCAGCTGTCACGTTAAGCAGTTCCAGATCTTTAAAAAAAAAATTTATCTAGCATTTTCCCAGCTTGCTACTCCTCTGTCATGAGTTTGTTAAGAGGGGAGGAGTGAGTGGAGACCGATGCACTGGAGGGAAACCTTTTGTTATTTAGGCTCTTTAGAAAGGCAGGAGGAGAAACAAAAGACAAACAAACAAGCGAAAGTATATTATTGAGTTCATTTAAGTGTATTATATGATTTTTTAAAATCATATTATCTATTAATTTATTGTTTGTTGTGAAAGGCCAGGCCCTAACTACTCTATCTTGACCTAAAAAATATATCTCAAAATAAGGTAATGCTTGGGTTGAAAGGTATATAAGTAGTAGTGCTATAAAGTTCCTTTTTTTAAAAGGCAGCAAATTTTGTTCTATTTTATTTTATCCCATTTTGACGGAAAAAGACATGTAATGTAAAACATGTCCAAATGATAAGAGGATGATTTTCCTGATAGATTATTGTGGAAGAAGTGTTACTCAGCTGTTATGAAAAATAAGTGGCATATCTAAACTGGTTTACTATCTGTCACAGTCTATGGGAAAATCAAAAGTTTCATATAGTCCAAGCAGGCTTTAAATCTTGATAATTGCTAATATCCATTGAGAATATCTGTTTCAAGCAACTCAAGAGTTGGAAAAACAGCAGCTCTTTGCAATTGGTTTGAGGGCAGCCATGGCTAAGCTAAAGGGTAACCTGCATCTGCACACTGTGTGCACAAAGATTAAAAAAAAGAGCAATAGGCCCTTGGGTCTAAATATTTCAAGCCCCAGTGCAAAGTATCATTTAAAATATATGATCTTCTGCATTGTGAAATATCGTGGATGATGCAGTCATGCTCCAAAAAGTGAACCCTGTGCTGGCCAGGACAATACTGAGAGGTGAAAAAAACATCCATGATCCCCACCAACAGCATCCGGTTGAATCTAGGCATTGGTTGCATCATCTTTAAGCAGACAGTCAGAGGGACACGGCTGGGTTGCAAGGATTGTAGACCAAGGCGGAGTCCACTTCTCAAAGATAAGGTGCACAAAAACTCACTTAGTCTTTTGCAAATACTCATCTGGAGCAAGAATAAGGCTTCTAGTAATCTACTTGATAGTTAGATGAAAATAATGACTGGATTTACCAAAACTGTGAACCATTCATTTGGCATGAATAAGACAAAACCTTTTAAACTAAGAACAACATCTCCACCAAACATAGTTTACACTGATAACCAATGCAGATTACAACCAAAATGTTACTTACAAAAAGGCAGAAGAGGTTATCTAATACTAATTAAACGGTAAATAAAATAATAATGATGCAATAGTGATCATAATGGACCCCTTTTAAATGAATATGATGGCATGGCATGATAATTAACTAGGTCACCAGGGGGATTTAATAAAGGACATACAAATGCAATACTAACACCCCCTATTGCTTTGGGGTTGTTCTCAGGTCAACAGACCAGTGAACCTTATCATAATAAATAGCACCATGAAAAAAAACAATAAATAAATCAGACAGTCATTAAAAAAACTTGGCCTTGGGAAACAGTGTATATTACATCATGGAAACGCCGAAAGACGTTCCGCAGAAAAATAAATAAATAAATAAATAAATAAATAAATAAATAAATAAATAAATAAATAAATAAATAAATA